CCTTGCCCGATACGCAAAACCTCCAGTTTCTCCCCCCTTTCGCCCTAAAATACGCCCGCAATGCGTTGCTGTTCATCTGGGTTGTCCAACGCATGCGGCGTACTCCACCAGTGGAGAGTGTCGATTGCTGGGCCCGCGAAGATCATGCCGACACCAAACCAGCTGGTGCGGATGATGGATGTGAGGGGATGCTGGGTGGTCGTGCAGCACCTCGCCCTCGGCTGGCGGTTCGCATGCTGTCGCGTCCAGCGCCAGCTCCAGACGCGCCCTGGCGACCTCCAGGCAGCGGCCCTTTGCGCGTTCTTCCGTATTCCATCATACATAGTGGTGGGCGTCATTTAGCGAGAGACGCCCAGACCCGACGCCATTTCATGGTGAGGCCATGTGCACAAGAGGGCCTTTGCACCTTCAATTTTTGCCGAGGCATGGCACTAACACCTCTCAGCAAGGTGCTGACTGAATGCGCTGACGTACCGGTTTTGTCACATAACCGTTACGTCAGCGGGCGATGGGGTCGTCACTTCCCTACGCCTTTTTATTATTATTATTATTACTATTGGAGAATTTTATGTTTTCATATTAAAATCCGCAACTGTTTTGCTTAAAGGTCAGTACTTTTACTGACTAAGCAAATGCGGATTTATATAAAAAAATTTTTTGTTTCTATTAAATCAAGTTGAAGCCCGTAATAACCACCCCCGTCTTTTTTATGAAATAAGGGTGAGTAAGATGGAATGCCCCGTTTCCACTAAAAAGGTCTCCAGTTCTCTACGAGTGCCTGTGAGTGCATACGAATCACAACAGCATTGAGCTGCTATTTTACGTTTGTATTCTGTAAGAACGTGGTCCTACCATGATAGCGCAGACCGATTCGTACTACAACCATAATGTAGCTGCAGCGTGGCTCTGCTCTAGGAAAAATATAAATAAAGAAAAACTGGATTGTGCTTTATGTATTTAACTATATAAATTAATGTCACGGCTCATCGCGAATATCGTATTTCCATAAATTTAATAACGTAGTAATGTTCGTTTTATGTCGTACCGTTCATCTCATTCATGATCCGGAAACTCGTCGCACAACCGGCGTCGAGCGCTCGTTAATCTGTTTATTGCTTTATCTCTGTTTTATTGCTTATTTTTCAGTGGATGGCTTATCGCGAGTATATTGTATCGGCCTATATCGACTTAAAGTCCATCCTTCAACACTTGCCATGAGCTCACTTTGTTAGCTTTATTATTATTTACTTAGCTTAACTTTTAAAGTTTTACAAGTAGTAAGTACCAAATTGAGGCAATAACATGTAACCTGGATTTTCTTAGTAAATAAGAGCATATGCACTTATAAAGTAGTAAAATAATACAACAAAAATTCAGTGATATTAATGATACGAGCTTGAGGTTCGTGACAATAAAAATTGCCGATAGAATTACCTGAATTAATACTTTAATTTTCTTTACACAAATTTTAACTTAAAACACTAATAATTAATCACACTGATTCACTTTATTCAACTTTGATCAACTTCAATACTTCCGCGATCGCATCCTGCAGCGCCTATTTATATAAATTAGCACGGAAATATCCAGAATATTCAAGTAAACACGCGCAAGGTACCGAGAGTTCGAGTTTCAACTAGATGCTAGTGCCATCGACTAAGGCGCGTAACACTGCCCCCACATGCTCGTCCCGAGCATTATCGGCCCCATAATAACGCGCCAGGCGATCCACATGGACGATCTTAGGAGTCCCTCTTGCGTCTTTCTGTATCCGGTAGGTTACATCGTTGATCCTGGTCACAATCCGGTACGAGCCATCCCATTTAGCTTGAAGCTTAGGAGATTTCCCTTTGCTGCGGACTGGATTGTGCAACCACACAAGTGAACCTTCGTCGAGCCCTTTGTTGTTCATTTTGCGGTCATACCGGGTTTTCATCTTTTCAGACACTTGCTGGCCCGATTGTCTGACGTGTTCATAAATGTCATTCATTTTGTTCCGCAAGTCATTTGCATAATCGGTTATACTGCGTGGGGCATCAGGTGGTATCCCGGTGATCAGGTCTGCAGGCAGCCGTAATTCTCTTCCAAAGTTTGCGAAAGCTGGTGTCACTGATGTACTTTCGTGAACAGCGCTTCAATATGACAGCAAAAACGGTTGTATGTGCTTATCCCAATCTCGTTGCCGGTTGTCTACAACTTTTGCTAGGTACCTCTCAAATGTCTGATTAAATCGTTCTACCACAGATTGCGGGTGATAAGAAGTCGTTCTTGTTTTATGAGTACCCATAACTCGGCAAGTTTCCTGGAATATTTGAGACTCAAAATTCCTTCCTTGATCGCTGTGAATCTCTAAAGGTACTCCAAAACGACAAAAGACTTCATGATATACTACTACTAGACTACATGATAGTTTATCTGCAACTGTTGAAGCTTCTTGATTTGGAATGGCGAAGACTTCTGGCCACTTAGTGAAGTAATCCATCACAACCATGAAATACTTGTTACCGCTTTCACTCTCCGGAAACGGCCCCGCCACGTCAATGGCTATTCTCTCCCATGGTGCACCAAAATTGTACAACTTCAATGCAACTCTACTACGAGTCTGAGGTCCCTTTACAGCTGCACAACTTATACAATTGCGACAAAAGTCCTCGACATTGTGTCGAGAGTGGGCCCAGTAAAACCATTTTCGGATCGTCAGTAGAGTTTGCTTAACTCTCAGATGGCCTTTTGAACAATCATTATGGTACAGCTGTAGAACATCCGGTACTTTAGCTTTAGGGACAACCATTTGTAAATGACAGCTGTCTCCCTGAACATTTTCCCATTTACGGCACAGAACTCCATCCTGAAGCAGCAAGCTGTCCCAATGGGCCCAATAGCTTTTAGTGGTCGAAGTCATCGCTGAGACGTCGCTCCACTTGGGCTTGGGAGCACTGGCCTTCATCCATTCCAGGATCGGCTTGATGTCCGGATCTTCCTGCTGTGCACGTTGTAAGCTGTCCTTCCAATCGTTGCTGAGGTGGTCCGCCCTGAGCATCCTCACGGATACCACTTCCTTACTCTCTTGCCTAGTACAATGTTTGCAATCTTTAGGACAAGGTCTTCTTGACAATGCATCTGCGTTTCCATGAGATTTCCCGCTGCGATGTTCGATCTCAAAGTCGTATTCCTGCAGTAGTTCAATCCACCTCGCAACTTGTCCTTCTGGATTTTTAAACTGCAATAGCTATTTTAGTGCAGCATGGTCAGTTCGTAAGTGAAATTCTCGCCCCAGAAGATATTTGCTAAAATGCTGCAACGACTTTACCACAGCTAGCAATTCGCGTCTTGTGGCACAATAGTTCCTTTCCGGTTTTGACAACGACTTGCTGAAGTATGCTATCACGACCTCTTGATCACCATTACGTTGAGAAAACACACCGCCAAGTCCTATATCACTTGCGTCTGTGTGAACTATGAATTCTTTGCTTGCATCAGGGTATCCCAAAATAGATGTTTTGCACAGATGGTCCTCGAGCTCCTGGAATGCGATATTACAACTTTCATCCCAGCAGAAATGTCGCTTTTCCTCGGTTAGCTTATGCAGAGGTTTGGCTATATCTGCAAAGTTCTTCACAAATTGCCGGTAATAGGAGCACAAACCCAAAAATGCTCTAACCTGCGTCTTGTCTTTTGGAACCGGCCAATCTTTTACAGCTGCGATTTTCTCTGGATCCGTGCGGATACTTTCTTCTGACACTACATACCCCAAAAAGTTGACCTGCCGTTTGAATAGTGAACATTTCTTCGGACTCAACTTGAGGTTGGCACTCTTAATCTTCATGAGCACGCGTTCCAGGTTTTGAAGGTGTTCCTCAAACGTACGGCCCACGATGATGATGTCATCCAAGTAGACCAGACAGGCATCGCCAATGAGCCCGGTAAGTACAAGTTCCATCAGCCTTTCAAACGTTGCTGGAGCATTGCACAACCCAAACGGCATTACTTTAAATTTCCACAGACCCTTTCCCGTCGAGAACGCAGTTTTCTCCTTGTCCTTAGGGTCAATTTCAACTTACCAAGTAGCCATTTTTTAGATCCAGCGTGCTAAACCACTTTACTCCTGTAAGCATGTCCAGCGTGTCGTCAATTCTTGGCAAGGGATAGCTGTCCTTCTTGGTAAGGTCGTTCAGACGGTGGTAGTCAACACAAAACCGCATGCTGCCATCCTTCTTCTTTACCAGTACCACGGGTGAACACCATGGACTAGATGAAGGTTCAATAACACCATCCTTCACCATTCCCTCAATCATGGTTTCCACTTCCTTTTCACGTGCTACCGGCAATCTTCTTTGCCGCTGACGGATAGGCAATTCTTCACCTGTGTTTATTTTGTGTTGAACTAAGCCAGTCTTTCCTATCTTTGATGAGAATAATCGGCATACTTGAGTAACAACTTCTTCGTTTTGACCATTTCTTTCGGGGAGAGAACGCTGCGACAGTATTCTAAAAGTGTGCTCACTCTCGTTTGTGCATCCTTGCTGGGGGTCCCAGTCGATAGATATTGGCACCGACGTAGCCAATCCACTTCCTCACAAGTAGCAACCAGTGTGCCTTTTTCTATAATCTGTTCCTGGCCGCAAAGGTTCACCACACGTACTCCTGAGATGTTAGTGGTTCTGACCAAGGTTCGAGCCACTTTCCATGGAAGGAAATTTTCTAAACTTTCCAATAGTACACAACGATGAGGTTGCCCAGGATTTCGAGGAAGACTAACCGGCACAATCATTTCCGATCTCGGCGGAAGAACAATCTTCTCAAGGGTGTACACGTTCCCTGGTAACGCTCCTTCCACAAAAAGTTCCTCTTGTCCACATTTTAAGACACCTTGCTTAACGTCAATCGCACAACAATTATTCCTCATGAAGTTTAGGCCCAGGATGCAGTCGTCCATTATATCAGCCACGATGACATTATGCAGGTAGATCATGTTGCCTAGCTTAAACTCCATCTCTTTC